CCAGGAACAGCAGGGGAGGACCACGGGGGCAAGACTGCGACCTCTGTGTGGGGGACCTGGAGGTGCTGTGTGAAGAAAAAGAACCCGACACACGCGACCACACGTCGGACGATTCCGTTATGTGAGACAGACGGCTCGACAGAAACGAGATTGCCATTTGCAGGACCTGGGCCAGTGGGACTGAGGATGGCTGTTTAGTAGGTGCAGGGGTTTGGGGAGAAGCGACGTGAGCATAGGGAACGAGATGGTGGTACTTGTTCACCATTGGGAATGAACTAAATTCTACACTCCAAATGGCCGATTTTGTGTTGTGTTAATTTATCTCAATGTAAATATATACAGGTATACGTATATATGTATGTATGTATGTATGTATGTACATGTACATGGAGGAAGGCTCTGTGGGAGGTTTGGGTTCTAGAGCCAGAGTGCAGCCTGGCTCCTCCACCCGCTAGCTCGGGAACCTCAGGTGAAGAGGATCTCGCCTGTCCTCAGTTACTGATCTGTAAAATGGGCATGGTCACCACACCCACCACAGGGGGCTATTGGGGAAGGGCCTTAAGAGAGGGCTGCCAGGTTTGGGGTTGGAAAGCCAGTAATCCAAGTGGCACAGGAGGATTGCAAGTTCAAAGCCAGCCTCAGCCACTTAGCGAGGCCCTGAGCAACTTAGTGCAACCCTGACTCTAGGGGTGGGTTAAATGTCCCTGAATTTAATTCCCTGTTACCAAAACAAGAAAGAGAGGGGAGAAAGAGAGAGAGAAGTAATATGTGAAGCCCTTCAGCACAGATGATGGCGCACAAGGAGTGGATAAATGGGACAGTATTTATTCTGAGCAAGGGAGAAATTATTCAGCACAAGTTGTGTCCTGGGAGGCAGAACTGCAGAAGCACCTACTGCCAAGTTTCCTCTTTTGTCCCAAGTTACTATATATACACCTATAAAGGGGCTTGATTACATTCAAGGTTGATTCTGACTTTTGAAATTCTATGAATAGGGGAAAGGAGTTCACCTGAGAGCCTGGGAAGAGCTACAGCATGATGAAGGAAGTAGGACTACACAAAGGACCTTCCCATGTTGATGCAGACAAGGACAGAGAAGATGCAGGTCCACAGCAGGTCTCTCAGACACAGGAAAATGTGGAGGCCATCTCGGTCATTCTCTACAGGGGTAGAAACAATGACCCTGGATCCTTTGGCCCTTTTCCCTCAGCCCATTCAGTGGGGCAGGAAGCGGATCTGGTAGGTTGGGGGCACTCTGCCCACACCACTCTCCCGGGGAGTGAGGTCGATGTCCTGGGGAGCCACAGGGCTGGCCACAGAGAAGTTCTGGAGGACGGTGGTGAAGAAGAGGAACAGTTCGTTGCGAGCGATGCCTTCACCAAGACAGATGCGCTTCCCTGTGGGCACAGAGGATCACCGTGTGGGCTCGGGGCCAGGGCACATGCTTTGCCTGCCATACCCCAAAGCACAGGCACCTGTGCACTGCTACGGATTGTCACAGGCTTGTTCTTTAACCTGTTGGACTCTTCAGGATAAATGTCCTAATCTTCAGCTGGTGGATCTTCATATTGATTGTTATAGGAGAGTTTATAGCTATTGTTTGATTTTCAAAGGGTTCAGTGGCCTCGTAGGAGATAAGGACCCACTTGTGTTTGGGTGTGTCAGTGTATAGGTATGTGAGTGCATATTTCTAACTTGATATTTTTAATGTTCTTCATTTTCAGAGAGTGGAAAAAGGGCCAAGTGTGTCCAAGACTTTCCCCAAGCCGTGCAAGGCGGCCCATGCCTGTAATCCCAGAGGATGGGGAGCCTGAAGCAGGATTATAAATTCGATGCCAGCCTCAACAACTTAGCAAGGTCCTAAGCAATTTAGCAAGACCCTGTCTCTAAATTTTAAAAATAAATTAAAAGGGCTGGGATGTGGTTAAACATTCCAGAGTTCAATCCCTAGCACACGCGTGCACACGCGCACACACACACATACACACACACACACAAGAAAAAAATACTTTCCCCAGCCCCAGTGCTCAGAGATCAATCCAAACCCCTCCCCAGCCTCAAGGCCCTTCCTGGCTGAGCTCCTCACACTCAATCCCTTTCCTAATCTATAGCTGGAGCTTCTTACAGTTGCTCTAATGGGCCACCTGGCTCTGCCCTGCTGTTGCCTCCCCCTGGAACCTTCTTTCCTGTAGCTGATCAACACTCGCCCACCAGTTTCTCAGGTGAGCTTTTCCTCACCTACCCACCAAAATTGGTATTTCCTACTTTGTGCTCCCAAATAACGCCAGATTATTAATGATAGTAAATGCCCATCACTGACTTTGTGCCAGGTATTTAATAATATAATAAGATCATTAAATGGGGACAACTTGATGAACATGTGGACTATAAGTTTCCTGGAGCAGGAATTGTGTCTGTACATGATCTGGATACTTTTATGCTTTTATTGATGCATAATAATTAGACATCATAGATTCATTGTGACATATTTATAAGTGCACATGACGATCTTGGATCCCAGGACTTCTCTATACCTCCGACCTTCTCCCCCTGACCACCTTCCTCCTCTTTACTCTTTTTACTCTATTTATTTTTAAATTGTAGTATTATAATTATAGATAAAAGTGGGGTTTGTGAGTGTGTACATGCACCGAGCATAACTTGGTCAGTTTCAATCCCAAGTATCTCCCTTTCCTTCTCCTTTACCCTCTGCCTGGATCCCTTTCCGCTTCTCTACTGGTCTCACTTCTGTTTTCATGAGGTCACTTTTTTATTCCTTTTTTTCCCTGTAGTTTCCACATATGAAAGAACCATTTCACCCTTGACTTTCTGGCTTATATCATATAGCATGATGTTCTCCAATTCCATCCATTTATACCAGCATCTGATATTATTTCATTCTTCTGTATGGATGAATACACACACACACACACACACACACACACACACACACACACACACCACATTTTCCTTTATTTATTTATTTTTTTGTTACCAGGTATTGAAC